GATCTGCACGGTGCCCTTCGTGGCCGGCTTTGCCGTCATCACCGCCGCCCAGGAAGTGTGGATGCTGCTCGGGGGCCGCCTCCTCACCGGCCTGGCCTGCGGCGTTGCCTCGCTAGTGGCCCCGGTGAGTGGCCCGTAGCCTCGCGCCCAGGAACCGAGGAGGAGCAGACCGGGGCCTCCGGGTGGCCCTTATCTGCTTTCTCTCCCTTGCCCTCAGTGGGCCCCGTTTGCAGAGGAAGTAAGTTTCCCACAGTGAAGTCCTTTGTCCAGACTCAACTGGTCAGTGGCCAAGCGATTACCCAGGATTGTGCCACTTAACTTGGCATCCCTTTTGCTCTGTGGATGGTCATCAGAAGCCTCACAATATGGCTTGACCCCCCCCCCCTGCCCCCCCCCCCACTGGCATTCAGACCACTGAGGACAGTTTAGCAGGAAAATCCTGCCCGGTTTGTCCTGGGGCAAAGGCCACTCCCCTTCGCTGCTCACACACCAGGGCTCCCTCGGCTTCCCTGCTTCTGTCAGCTCCTGACCCAGCACAGCCAGGCTGGCTTCCCAGTTCTGCCGCCTCCGGGACCCCAGCTCCCTCCCCTGTGAGTGAGAATGACCGGTCACCCCATGCAGTGGACGAGGAACCAGAGACGCCCATCAGCCCTGTCGTGGCTTATGAAGGACTTGGATCTGCTGGCCATGGGCTTGGGTGATCCACCACCCACACCCCAGCCGGGTCGAGATTGAAAGCAGTGGCGTGGGTTTCTCTCTGCTCATCCCGTTGCACCTGCCACTCATTTCACCTGCATTGGCTGGGCAGCTGGGTTGGATTTTATGTTTGGGGTTTTTACTGGGCAAAAACACACCTAAGCCATGGGCATAGGGATGGAGTAACCCAGAAGTAAGGGCGAGGCCTCTTTGGCCCCTGAGCATAGTCGCTGATAACCATTGAGGTGAGGAGTTCCTGCTTTAACCCCAAGGGCACCACGCCAGCAGCCAGGTGTCACCTGGAGCTAGTTAGAAGGCAGACTCTCAGGCCACCCACACCTGCTGCACCCGTCTGCGTGTTACCAAGGGTAATGATACAATTACATGAAAGTTTGCAAAGCTCTGTGCCCACCCCCCCATCACCCTACACACAGCAGCCACACAGATACCCTCACCCCTTTAAACACCTGCTGCAGATCACTAGGTGGGAGCGGGAGGTATGAGGAAGGCTCTGACCCGGGGCTTGCAGTTAGGGGCCCACCCGGCCTGCAGCTCTCCCCTTACCTGCTCACAGGTCTACATCTCCGAGATTGCCTACCCTGAAGTGCGGGGGCTGCTGGGCTCCTGTGTGCAGCTGATGGTCGTCACGGGCATCCTCCTGGCCTATCTGGCAGGTGAGAGTTTTCACATCTTCTCTTTTGATCCCTTTTAATGGCCACTTGGCCACTTTAAAGCCATGGAAACTGAAGTTCAGGAGAAGTCACAGGAGTTGCCCGAGGTTTCACAGCCAGCGCCCGAGGTGCTGGGTTCCCAGACCCCCTCCCTGAGACCCCGGGAAGCGTGGGATGTGCCTAAGTCCCCGGAAGAGCTGACAAAGGTGCTCACCCTCCTGGGCAGAAGCCCATTCCCAGGGTCTGGGGAGAGCTGGCTGCTTAGGTCAGTGCCTCACTGTGCAGTGACAAACAGGATTCAAGGGGCAGCTGGGGCACCCCAACAATCTCCAGCCCAGGTGCTCGGGCCCAAGCATGTCTCCCTCAGAAACATCAGTACTGGATTTGCAGCGTGAAGGAGGCGGGTTCCGGGGGACCCTGAGGGTGGAGCTGGGGCCAGCAGAGAAGTGTGTTTGCACTAGAACTGGGTAGAAAGAGGGCGGGGCTCAGATCTGGCAGCCCGATCAGGGGAGGACCTCTGCCACTTACTGGCTGCCTGGCCTGGGCCTGCTCAGCCTCTGGGAGCTGCACTTGCCCTGTCTTCAGGTGGAGAAAACCCCACCTCGTCCAAGGCTGTTGAGGGTTTAATTAAATGACACGCGAGAAGTGCCTGGCAGCAGGCCCCCAGTGAGAATTGTGTAGGGACGGCCCGAGAGCCATGGGGAGGGCAGGGAGCCTGGGGCTTTCGGGCCTGATGGGTGTGGTGGGGCCTGGCCGTGTGCCCTGTGGGTCTGTAGAATGGTCGATTTGCAGCTCTGTGGTCTTTCTTTTTACCCACTTACCATCCTGACTGTAATTCAGAGTCCTGGCAGCAGTCTGGCTGCCGCGGGGCCCAGCAGTGTGCACACGCATTGACATTTGGAACAGACATGGGTGTCGAATTATCGCCACTTCCTGTGACTTTGGATCCTCTGGTGCTCAGTGAAAGGTCCCCCGCCCTGTCCTGCTTCGGCTGCAGGCGAACCAGCCTTGCCTGCCTCTTGGTTGCCTTCCAGAGGGTCTGCATGAGGACTCTGTGAGGACTGTGCATAGTTGTCCCCCCCCCAAAATGTTACACAAATGGCCATGTCATAGCCATCATTACACAGCAAGGCCTCATTCTTTGTATAATGGCTACGTACCTATTCACGGAGCCGATGTAGCATAATGTCCCCGTCATCACTTCTGCATTTCAACAATAACCACAATGTCAGTAACGGACTGCAGAGGTAGGTAGGTGCCCACCCGTTAAGCTGAGCCCCTGGGCTGGTGAGGGGCACGCACTTGCCGAGAAAGCCCAGGCGGCTCACCCAGGCTCTGAATCTGCCCCATCCAGGCTGGATCCTGGAGTGGCGCTGGCTGGCCGTGCTGGGCTGTGTGCCCCCCTCCTTCATGCTGCTGCTCATGTGCTGCATGCCCGAGACCCCGCGCTTCCTGCTGACTCAGCACAAGCGCCAGGAAGCCCTGGCTGCCGTGCGGTTCCTGTGGGGCTCTGAGCAGGGCTGGGAAGAGCCCCCTGTCGGGGCTGAGCACCAGGTGAGGGGCTGGGAGGTGGAGCTGGGGGACGGGGTCAGGGAGGTATCACCCCTTTGCAGCCAGGGAGCCAGCACAAGCCGTTCTCAAGGATGTAACTGCATGCATGCGCGCGCGCACACACACACACGCACACACACACAGAGCCAGTGTTGTCCTGTGTGCCAGACACACACGCACACACACACACACACGCACGCACACACGGAGCCAGTGTTGTCCTGTATGCCAACAAGCAAAGGCCTGCTCAAGCCCCGCTCCTTGGCAGGGCCCAAGCCTTGGTCTCATTGAAGAGAATGGCCTGGCGGGGTCCCAGGGACATGCAGGGCGGACTTGAGGACTTGGTTTTTACGTGGGGGGTTGTAGGGCAGGGGTTGAAATCAAGTCTCTGCCACTTACCTGCCGGGTGACTGTCCCATTGTCAAGCCTTAGTTTGTTCATGTAGAACAGGAGTCAGCACATGCTGCTGCAGAGCCAGTGGTGGTGGTGAGGACTCGGGCCCGGGCCGAGGCTGGTGGGATTCTGGAGCCCCTGGCCCTTTGCCCATGTGCTCTCTCTGTGGGCCCCGCCCCCCCAAACAAATCAGGAAGGGATGTACGGAGTGAGGACCTTTCACCTTACAAATGGGGAGGCCGTAGTGATGCGGAGAGTGACCCAGGAGAAGCTGAGGCTCCCTCCTTGGAGCAGGGCGCCCTGGGGAGAGGGCAGAGCAGCACTGACGCCCCTTCTGTCCAGCAGGGCTTCCAGCTGGCCCAGCTGAGGCGGCCCGGCATCTACAAGCCCTTCGCCATCGGCATCTTACTCATGGTCTTCCAGCAGCTGTCGGGGATCAACGCTGTCATGTTCTACGCAGAGACGATCTTTGAGGAGGCCAAGTTCAAGGTAAAGAGGCCTCTGCCTCATGCAGATGCCACTCGGGTGTGGCCTTGTCCCCGGGCCTCTGCCTGACCCACCTCTGCCCATCTCCCCAGGACAGCAGCCTGGCCTCCGTCATCGTGGGCGTCATCCAGGTGCTGTTCACGGCCGGGGCGGCCCTGGTCATGGACAGAGCCGGGCGGCGGCTGCTCCTGGCCTTGTCAGGTGAGGCCCGAGGGCTCAGCCCTGTGCGAGTGGTGACCCAGGCCAGGCTCCCACTGCAGGTTGGAGGGTCTGTGCCAAGGCCACTGTGTTGTGGGAGGAGGAGGACAAGTGTCCCTGAGAACAAGACTGAGATTTAACGGGAGCGCTCGCTGCAGGCCAGGCCTGTGCTCACGGCATCACCACCTCACACCGTAACCTGGCAATGAACCTGCAAGGAAGGTGCCACTGGGCCCCAGCTGACAGTGAGGAAACGGAGGGCCCTGGAGGGGAAGTGACTTGACCTCTCTGAACCTCGGTTTCCCTCTGAAATGGGGGTAACGGGACCATTGGGAGGCTCGGGAGCCCCTCTGCGTGCTGAGTGGTGCTGCTCAGTCAGGGCTTTGGGGTGCTGCTCACTGCCCCTCCAAGGTGTCCAGGCCACTTGGCTATGGCCACACTGGGCTGAGCCACATGCCCGGAGCTGGAGGGGAAGTGACTTGACCTCTCTGAACCTCGGTTTCCCTCTGAAATGGGGGTAACGGGGCCATTGGGAGGCTCGGGAGCCCCTCTGCGTGCTGAGTGGTGCTGCTCAGTCAGGGCTTTGGGGTGCTGCTCACTGCCCCTCCAAGGTGTCCAGGCCACTTGGCTATGGCCACACTGGGCTGAGCCACATGCCCGGGCTCTGGGCCGCTTCCCCCAGCGCCCTGCCCAGCGCCGCCCTCCCCCGCAGGTGTGGTCATGGTGTTCAGCACCAGTGCCTTTGGCACCTACTTCAAGCTGACGCAGGGTAGCCCCAGCAACTCCTCACACGTCGACCTCCTGGCGCCAGTCTCCGTGGAGCCTGCCGACCCCAGTGTAGGGCTGGCCTGGTTGGCGGTGGGCAGCATGTGCCTCTTCATTGCTGGTGAGAGGGGGCCTGTGGGGAGGTTGGGTGGGGACTGATGGGGCCGTCCTGTCACTGCTGCATTCAATGGCTCCCAGCAAGCCCAGGCCTCCCTGTCTCACCTGTCCATAGAGGTCCCAAGTCTGCGTTTATAGCTCTGGCCACGTGCCCAGCACCCAGCTCAGCCCTTCTCCTCTCAGTCCCCCCGTCAGCGCACTGAGTAGGCCCCATTGTTATCCCGAGTGTAAGAAGCAGAGGGCCTGGCCTATGACTTCACAACGGGAAGGCGCAGAGGGGGAGCCCAGCCTGGCACCCAGGCCCCTCAGCCCATGTGGGCCGCCCAGCCAGGCTTCAGCCCCGGGGTCTCCTGGGGGCCGAGGGGTCTGGTCCCAGTGGTGCTGACACCTCTCTTGTTCCCGAGGCTTCGCTGTGGGCTGGGGGCCCATCCCCTGGCTCCTCATGTCGGAGATCTTCCCTCTGCGTGTCAAGGGCGTGGCCACCGGCGTCTGTGTCCTCACCAACTGGCTCATGGCCTTTCTGGTGACAAAAGAGTTCAGCAGCCTCATGGTGAGTCCCGGCCCCGGCAGCCTCCCCTCCCGTCAGCAGAGGTGCTTGTAGATTGTTCTCTTCGCAGAAGACTCAGGGTCAATGAATGGCCTTGTGTGCAGGCTGCCCCCCCACCCCACCACCTGGGGCACCAGCCGTCTGGGTCGGGGTGAGGGGAACCCAGGCCGGACCACTCGGGAGCCCTCGGGCGGTCTTGGTGGAGGGCGGCAGGGCGGGCCTCCCCACTGGACAGTGAGGACACAGGGCGGGACGTCGGGCTCTGTGGGGAAGTTCTGGCTCCAATGCTGCCTGGCACTTCCCTGCTCTGTGGCCTTGGTGTGCTGCTTACCTTCTCGGAACCAGCTTCCTTGCGGAACATGGAGTAGGTGCCATACCTTCCTCTAGGGTTGATGGGAGCATCAGTTCAGTTCAACATTTTGCTACCTTTTCATGGATAGACTTGACAGACACGGCCCCACCTAAGGGGCTTCCCAGCCAATGGGGGGATGGTGTTGGAGCAGATGGACAAGCATTTGCTCAGTCATTTGCCACCCCAGCCCCCAGGTCTCCTGGTACATACCACATCCAGGCTGTTCCTGGTGCCAGAGACAGCAAGGAATGAGATGGGCAGGGTCGCTTTAGGGCTGGGACAGCAGTGGACAGTGGTGGGAGAATAAACCAGGAGGCTGGGCTGGGGCCGGGATGCCCAGGGCTGGCCTGGAGTCTGTCCAAGGAGCAGGCCCATCAGGCAGCTGCCCCAGGGAGGGACCGCTAGGGAGGAAGGGGCTGTGGTTCTGGGCTGGGAGGATGGATAGGCTCTGACCAAAGGGAACTGCTGTCTTCCCTGCCTGGGCCCTCAGTGCCTGTGTGTTCACACTGCCCATCTCACCTGCTGTTCACTCACCCATTCCCTCTGGTACCTCAGAGGGCAGGGCCAAAGCCAAGTGTACAGGGAAGGTCTGTGGGCTCTGGAGTCAGACCCCGGGGGAGAGGACCCAGCTGTCACTGGATGGTGCCTCTCTGACCCGGGGCAGCCACTTCATCACAGTGAGCCTGTTTCCCCAGCACACAACATCCATCCATGGGCAGTGCTCGGCCTCCTCCACTGCCCCGCGCCTGGGCAGCGCAGGCGGGTGGTCACGTGAGGGCTGTGCCTTCTCGTCACTGGCTCTTCCCCTCTCTCTGCAGGAGGTGCTCAGGCCCTACGGTGCTTTCTGGCTCGCCTCTGCCTTCTGCGTCGGCGGTGTCCTTTTCACTGTGTTCTGTGTCCCTGAAACCAAAGGAAAGACTTTGGAGCAAATCACAGCCCATTTTGAGGGGCGATGACAGTCCCTTCCCAGGAGTGGCTGCCCTCCTAGCTGGGACAGTTTGGGTTTCGGAGGGGACAGAAGCCTGCCTGTGACTTCGAGCTGGGACTCAGCCAGAGCCCAGAGCCCCTGCCAGCCCCCAGGGAGCCAGGAGCCAGGACCTCGTCCTCCAGGTCCCTCCCTCCTGCTCAGCTCCCTACAGCCCCACGAGCCACGGGCATGAGGTTCCCAGTCCCTGGGTCCAGCTCCCACCGTTGCTCTGAGACTGAGGAGGAGGGGACATCTCGGAGGGTCTTCAGTGCCCTGTGGCAGGCCTCCGTGTGCCCTCCCTGTCGTGATACGAAGCGACCGTGGAGGAGGGGACTCTTGGTTCCTCACTTTCTGGAGGAGGTGCTTTTGGAGGCTGGGTGGTGGCCCATGGTCTCCTCACAGGAATGCATTTGTTGCCAAATAAAGACTTGACTCAAAGTCAGGTCCCGGCCTCTCTGTGAGCTGCAGTTGAGGAGGGCAGTTTCCTGTCCCATAAACCGGCCTCTGAGAACCTTTGTGGGTTTACTTCCCATCCCATAATCTGCTGTACTCACTTCCCTGGTGTGCAGCCCCTGTGTGCACCCACCTTGGCACCATCTATTAAGCTATAACGAGCCTGGAGAGCTGGGCATTGGTTCAGGGCAGAGCGGTGGGGAGAACAGGACGGGACCCCAGGGTTGGTTTCTGGAAGATCCTACAGCAGCTCTCTGATTGTAGTAAAATGGGCCAAGTAACACGCGGGAAAGCTCTCAGCTTTAGCAAAGTCCAAATTCCTGGGGCCTTCCAGAAGCAAGGTCATGTCCAAGTGTAGGCTCATCTTCTGTGTGGACAACTGCACATCTACACTGTTGTTAGTGCTGCATGTGGCCACTGGCTGGGCCGAGAACCGCACTGTCATGTCAGCGAGTGTCCTGCAAATGCCAGCTTGTTTAGCGTGGATCGGGTCTGCGGCATCCTGACCGATTTTCTGTCCGCTTGTTGCACACGTGGCCAGTTCTCCTGCAGCTCTCCTGGTCCTGCAAATGCCAGCTTGTTTAGCGTGGATCGGGTCTCCAGCATCCTGACCAATTTTCTGTCCGCTTGTTGCACACCTGAGGTTGCTTCAAGCTATTGTTTGTCCTGCACCCCAGAAGGTTATACGCAGGCTGTGTCTGACAGGGGCCTACTCCCTGCCGTCTCAGAATCTGTTCTCAGTGAGTCAGCACCAAAGACAACTCAATCTAACAGGCCACCCACTCTCAGCCACCTCACAGAAGACAGGTCTTTGCACTGGAAACTTCTTCACGTTGAACTTCAAGCAGAGGCTGCTTCCAGCTCCTGCTTGGCCATCCCCAGCCTCTGCACATGGGGATTGGCAAAGGACCAGAGGGAAGGCAGGGGATGGCTCACACACCTCCCTCCCCCAGGCTGCAAGGGAGATGATTAAACTTGTGGGCAAGAAAACCTCCTGTGGCTTCAGTCCTACTGTGGTCTCTTTCCTCTTTAATCCAGGGGCCAGGAGCCATGGCAGCATGGTGAGAGCCAGTGGACTTGGTTCCAGTTCTAGTTGCACTACTCACTATGTGACCTGGCCAAGTCACAACCTCTCCAGGTCTCAGTTTATTCATCTGTAAAATGGGCATAATGATGCTGTCTCCCTCATAGGATTGTTGTGAGGATGAAAGGAAATAATTATGTCAAGCACTTAGAACTGAGGATGTCATAGAATAAGTGTTTGTTGCTGTTAGCTGGTGGTGGTGATGAGGCTGTGGTGGAGCAAAGCTGGTGTGATGTCCAAGGTGTGCCTCTGAAAGAGACGTGAAATATTTCCACATGTTTCTCTTTATATTTTATTTCCTACCCAGCTCCCTCAGCAACTCCTACCCATACCACCTCTGATTGCTACCAGTACCCAGTTATAGGTACCAAGGACGGTGGACACACGTGCTCTTCAGAGGTCCCCTGAGACTGCCTTGGGGCCTTCCCATCGGGGCACAAGATGGGAAGAACCAGCCCCAGCTGGCAGTCCAGTATCAGCCCAGCCCGGCCCAGCCCGGCCCGGCACATAGGGAAGAGGAGCAGGATAAAGCATTGCCACAGGACAGGTCCAGCAGAAGCTGTGCTCTACCCAGCCCACGTAAGACAGGTCTCTGTACTGGATAACCGTAGAAATCTGCACTGCCTACCAAGAGTCACTCCATCTCCATCTCATCCCGCTCCCCATCCCCTCACCCCAACTCTTCCAGAAGAATGCTGGCTTCTGGGAACCTAAGACAAGGCTTCTGGGTCCTAAGCCGCCCAGTGGCCACATGCGGAATTGCATCGATTGAAGCCTGAAGCACTCTGCTTCCTCCCAGGGGCCATGGGTAAGAAACCCTCTGCTACCACCTAGTGGCCAGTGTGGGGTTAGCACCTGTTGGGCCTGTGGCTGCAGGCAGAACCGCACCAACTGGAAGGAGTCAAAAATCAAGGAATGTCGGCAGCCCTGGAAGCTGGAAGAGGCAAGAAAACAGATTCTCCCCTAGGGCCTCTGGAAGGCATGTAACCCTGCCAACACCTTGATTTTACCCCAGTGATATCCATCTCCGACTTCTGACCTCCAAAATCGTAAGCCCCAAATTTCAGAAGCCAAAAGTGGAAATGGGCTTATCTCAAAGGGATCTGTGAGCGTGACTTGCCTAATGGAGTTAATCCAGTAAGATTCATACAGGACTAAGTTAAGAGGGTTATATTGGCAAAAACGCTACCAGCTGTGACTGAAAGGGGCCGAGACCGTACAACGTGAGAAGAGGCCTTAGGATCCCTACACTCATTTCCGCTTCCCAGGTAACGCATTCCCGTCTTATTGTCAAAATGCCTCTAAAATTGAATTGGGTTATCGGAAAATTGCTTGGGTGGTGAAGAATTTTCATCAATGTTCTGAGGAGGTCCATTGAAATATCCCCTGACGCAGCAGGGAATCCTCCAACGGACAGAAAGTTCAGGAATCTCCTTTTGCAACAGTGCTGATCAAACACTATCAAAGTGTGTTTCTGCCCCTGAAATTACTGAAGAGGTTCCCTCCTGCAGATTGATTTTATACTTTGGGAATTCCAGGCCACCAACCGGTGGCAGCCCTGTTCACACTGAGAGGCTCAAGAGGAATGTGAAGGTGTCGAGCTGGGCCTGAATTGAAGGTCCGGGAAGGAGAAAACCCTCTTCACCTGCTGCTCTGGGAACGTGACCAACTGAAAAATCAGGAGCCGAGAACCAGTGATTTGTTGTCTGCGCTAAAACTACAACTCCCATGATCATTAGCGCCAAGTCGATTCCTGTCTCGGAGGCTCCAGGCGTTGGATTCGGTGGACCTGAAGAGCATGTGCGACATAGCATGATGGGAAATAGATTCAGGGAGCGAGAACTGGCGGAAGCCTCTCTAGGAAGCACGATTCAGGAGGGTGTGCGGATCACAAAGCTGGCACCGAGAGAACAGGTTTTGACTAGGAAGAGAGCGCGGAGATTTCTAGGGAGTAGAAGCTAGAGGGGCTAGAAGGCAAGTGCGCATGGCCGGAAGTGATGCTGTTTTCGCGCGTCCTCTTTGGCGCGAGAAGAGGACGTGACGTTTGGCAGGACCTGAAGCTGGTTTCTCAGTTGGAGCCGGTACCCGGTTACCTGCCTGCGGTATTTTCACGCGGTGTTTTGTTTGAGACTCAGTCGTTGGCTGCGCCTCGGGCTCCCCAGCCGAGGCCAGGCTGTGGCTGGGAGACAGTGAAAGACCCGCTGGACAGCCCCCACCCGAGCTCCCGGAGCCCAGCACCGCAGGCTCAGACCCGGCCTCGGGGGAAGGCGGGAGAGAGGAATCCGCGGGCAGAGCAGGCCTGCAGAGCGGGGCTGGCGCCCAGAGAACTGCTGGGAGGCGGTGTCGCGTGGTGATACCCAAATGCTGGAGGAAGGTGAGTGGGCTGAGGGAACGGTTTGCAGGCCAGCCTGTCCCAGCTTGCCCGCTATTGCTGCTGTGCGACGCGGCCCCGAACCCCGCGGTTGTCCTTTCCACTTAGGGACGATCTTCTAATAAAGAATTCTGAGGTCAAAAAAGTTTGAGGAGCTCAGTCCCGGATAATCTCTGAGTACCCAACCCCTCACCCTGGGACGTACTCGGGGTCTCCTGCATTGCTTCTGATCTCCCAGCTCTTGAAGCAGCCAAGGATCCTCGGAACAGGAGTCTATTGACTCCACCTGAGATGAGGGCGGGTTGAACCCAGCTGATCGTAAAGTTGTGGAAGGTACTGGGGATTTGGAATCAGAAGTCCTGTTTAACCTGTGTTTCTTTATGGAGGAAAGGGTAAAATAACATTGAGTACCTCGATTACCAGTAAGAACTGTAAGCATCACTGTTAACGCCTTGCAGAACAGAACAAATGTGCATTTAATTTCATCTTAACCACCAAGGCTTGTGCCATCCTCCCCTAAATCAAGGAGCCCCTGTATTGGTCAGTAACTCTTCAAGTCCAATTTGACAACCAGCATTTCGTGCTGTCTTCCCCAGAGACCTGAGAACGCAAGCAGCAGGTTATCATCCTCTCTGAAGAGAAAAATAAGACAGTGGAGCCCTAACCGGTTTGGCTCAGTGGATAGAGCGTCGGCCTGCGGACTGAAAGGTCCCAGGTTCCATTCCAGTCAAGGGCATGTACCTTGGTTGCGGGCACATCCCCAGTGGGGGGTGTGCAGGAGGCAGCTTATCGATGTTTCTCTCTCATCGATGTTTCTAACTCTATCCCTCTCCCTTTCTCTCTGTAAAAAAATCAAAATATATTTTTTTAAAAAAAAGATACAGTCGGTTAGGTGAAACTCAGTAACTTAAGGTCTGTACTAAGACCTGTATCCAGACCTTTTTCTTTCTTTTTCTGAGGACTATACTACCTCTTCTATTTTTAAACGGAAATATAATTCACATACTATATTCACTTTTAAAGTATACAGTTCAGTGGCTTTTAGTATATTTGCAAAGTTGCGAAACCATCACCACCACTACTTAGTTCTGAAACATTTCATCACCCTAAAAAAAACCCATACCCATTAACCACTCCTTCCCCCTCCTCTAGTCCCTGGCAACCACTAATCTATTTTTTGTCTGTATGAATTTGCCCATTTTGGACGTTTCATAAAAATAGAATCATACAGTATGTGTCTGATTTCTGTCACTTAGGGTAATTTTGTGTTTTTTTTTAATATATTTTATTGATTTTTTACAGAGAGGAAGGGAGAGAGAGATAGTTAGAAACATCGATGAGAGAGAAACATCGATCAGCTGCCTCCTGCACATCTCCTACTGGGGATGTGCCCACAACCCAGGTAACATGCCCTTGACCGGAATCGAACCCGGGACCCTTCAGTCCGCAGGCCGACGCTCTATCCACTGAGCCAAACCGGTATCGGCACTTAGGGTAATTTTGTAACATGAATGCATCTCACTCCTTTTTATGGCTGAATAATATTCCATTATATGGATGTACCAAATTTTATCTGTCCCTGGGCTGATGGATGTTGGGTGGTTTCCAGTTTGGGCTATTATGAATAACTAGAGGCCCTGTACATGGATTCGTGCACATTGAAAGGAAATTAATTAAAAGGTGGCTGGCGGGGCGGGACTGGGTGAGACCGGCGGACATGCCTTGGAGCCAACCTCCCGAGGTCCCTCCCTGGCCAGCCACACCTGGGGTGGTCATGCAGCTCAAAGGGCGTCTGTGGAGTGAGTTGGGGTCCCTCTAGCAGGTGGGGTCCCTCAGCCTGGCCTGCGGGGATGGGGCCAAAACAGGCTCTCCGACATCCTGAGGGGTCCCAGATTGCAAGAGGGCGCTCTCCGACATCCCGAGGGGTCCCAGATTGCAAGAGGGCAGTTCTCCAGTGATGCACCCTAGAATTGGGCTCCCTCATCTCTGGTTCCAGGTGCATCACCCAAGAACCACAGATGCCAAGTCACCACAGTGTGGCAGCTCCTGCATTGAGCATCTGCCCTCTGGTGGTCATTGGGTGTCATAGCTACTGGTCAGACGGTCGCTTAGGCTTTTATGTATATAGATAATGCTGTGAACATGTGTGTAAACGTTTTTGTGTGGACACGTTTTCATTGCTCTCAGGTGTATGCCTGGAAAAGGAATTGCTGTGTGGTATAACTTTCTAAGGAGCTGCCAAACTGTTTTCCACGGTGGCTGCACCATTTTACATTCCCAGTAGCAATGTATGAATGTTTGTTTCTCCCTACATCAACGCTTGTTTTCCACCTGTAAATTTTAGCCATCTGGTGTGCCAAGTGGTGCCTCATTATGGTTTGATATGCATTTCTCCAACAATTAGTTATGTTGAACATCTTTTCATGTACTTTTTGGCTATTAGTATATCTCCCTTGGAGAAATATACAAATCCACTGCTCATAGAAACATCGATCAGCTGCCTCCTGCACACCCCCTACCGGGGATGTGCTTGCAACCAAGGTACATGCCCTTGGCCGGAATCTAACCTAGGACCATTCAGTCCACAGGCTGACGCTCTATCCACTGAGCCAAACCGGTTAGGGCTGTTTATATATTCTTTATGTATTCTGGATACTGGACCCTTAAATTTATGATTTTGCACATATTTTCCCCCATTCTGTGGTTATCTTTTTGACATTTTTAAAATATATATTTTTTTATTGATTTCAGAGAGATAAAAACATCAATGAGAGAGAATCATCGATTGGCTGCCTCTTGCATGCCCCACACTGGGGATCAAGCCCGAAACCCAGACATGTGCCCTTGGACCAGAATTGAACCTGGGACTCTTCAGTCCACAGGCTGACGCTCTATCCACTGAGCCAAACCAGCTAGGGCTCTTTTGACATTTTTTATAGTGTTCTTTGAAGCACCAAGTTTTTAATTTTGATGAAATCCAATTTATTTTTTTCTTTTGTTGCTTGTGCTTTTGGTGCCATATCTAAGAAACTGTATTTTCTTCTAGGACTTTCAGCTTTCACATTAGGTCTTTGATCCATTTTGAGTTCATTAGCAGTACAAGGTAGGGGTCTAATTTCATTCTTTTATTGATTTTCAGAGGGAGGAACATCCATTTGTTGTTCCACTTATTTATGCATTCATTGGTTGATTCTCATATGTGCCCTGACCAGGAATCAAACTTGCAATCTTGGCATATTGATGATGCTCTAACCCAGCAGTTGCCAACCAGTCCGAAAGGTTGGTGACTGCTGCTCTAACCAACTGAGCTACTCAGTCAGGGCCTCTAACTTCATTTTTATGTGGATGTCCAGTTGCCCCAGCACCATTTTTTTTTTTTGAAGAGAATATTTTCCCCACTTAATTTCTTAGTACTCTTGTTGAAAATCAGTTGTTTATACAATGTGCTTATTTCTGGACTCAGTTCTTTTCTATTGATACACTGTATGTCTGCCCTTGTACCAGTACAGCACTATTTTGATTACTGTTTTGTATAAAGTTTTGATACTGCAAACGAGTCCTTCAACTTAGTTCATTTTCCAGATTTACTATTCTGGGTCTCTTGCATTTCCATGAAATTTTGGATTAGTTTTCTATAAAAGAGCCAGCTAGGATTTTGACAGGGATTGCACCAACTCAACAATGGTTTTTAGTGTACATGCCTACACTTCGTTTTTATTACTAGGCATTTCATTCTTTTAATACTCTTCGAATTGCTTTAAATTTCATCTTTTGATTGTTCATTGCTAATACCTAGAAATACACCTGGAGAAATAGCTATTCAAATCTTTTGCCCATTTTAAAGAGGTTGTCCCTTTACTGTATATTCATCTTGTATCCTGCAACCTTGAACTTACCTGTGATAGCTTGTGGATTCCTGAAGATTTTATGTATACAAAATCATGAAGTTTTAATCCCTTTCCAATCTGGATACCTTTTTCTTTTCCCTTGCCTAAGTGGCCTGGCTAGAACTTCCAGTAAAATACTGAATAGAAGTGGCAAGGCAGACATCTTAAAGCATCTCAAATGCAATTAGTTCTCTTCTGTTCCTAGTTTATCATAAAATGGTGTCATATTTTGTAATATCTTTTTGGTTTGGAGAGGATCATGTGGGAGTTTTTCTTTGGTATATTAATATGGTGTATTAATATGGCATATTATGTAGACTGATTTTTGTATGCTGAACCAACCTGTGTTCTTAGTATGAATCTCACTTGGTCATTTCCCTTTGATTAGGCAAATTTGCAGAGGCACTTTCTCCAAAGAATAGGACATTTGTAAACTATATACTTATCTGCTAGGCACTGTACCAACTGCTTTATCTGCATTTTCCTTTAAATTTTCAAAGCAACAACTTTACAAGGGATTTATCCCCACTTTACAGGTTGCCCCAGCACCATTTAAGAGGTTCTGTGGCCGAAACCGGTTTGGCTCAGTGGATAGAGCGTCGGCCTGCGGACTGAAGGGTCCCAGGTTCGATTCCAGTCAAGGGCATGTACCTGGGTTGCGGGCACATCCCCAGTGGGAGATGTGCAGGAGGCAGCTGATCGATGTTTCTCTCTCATCGATGTTTCTAACTCTCTCTCTCTCTCTCCCTTCCTCTCTGTAAAAATCAATAAAATATATTAAAAAAAAAAAAGAGGTTCTGTGATTTTCACACTGCCGGTAAGTGGTGAATAGGGGTACTAGACTCTGCTACACTCTAATGTAGGGGTGGGGAACCTTTTTTCTGCCAAGGGTCATTTGTAATTTATGACATCCCCAGGCCATACAAAATTATCAGTTTAAAAAAGGGAAATTTATATCCCACTGCGGGTCTGTGAACTCAGCCCGTGACCTGACACTTTTGAACCCCCTCTTCAGAGTGAGAATGTGACTTCCTACCTAGCTTAGTGAGCTAAACTTTTGCCTCATTTGTTTCTTTTCTTCCAGAATCATGATCTCCAGACCCTAGCCTTTCCCAAGAGGAAAGCACAGGATAGGAAGGAATGGGAATGGTGACTAGTCTCCTCACAGCAGGGCCACATGTAAGTTGGAAATTTACTCAAAAACAGCTTTTATATTAAGGGGTTTTGTTGTTAATTACAAAAGGAATACATATTCATTGTAGAAAACCTGGGACACACAATGGGTGATACTACGGAGGAAGAATGAATAGGCACTTGGATTTGTGGGGAAGGAGAACACCCAGGTTTCTGGGTGGCCAACTAGGTGAATGGAGGCACCGTTCCCAGAGCTGAAAATAGACCTTCTTGCCTCTATGGCTTTGCTCATGGTGCTTCCCCTGCCTTAGATAATATCCTTCTCTTGCTCCTTCTGAGTAATTTCTATAAGGACAGCATGTTGATTGCCTCCTCCCACCTCCACCCAGGATTCCTCTTCGATCATCTTACATGCTGCTCTGTCCATCTCTGACACATTACAGGTCATTGCATGTGCTTGGCCCTCCTGTATCGTGTCATGTCTGAGTTCACAGAAATACCTATTAAATGTTCTTAAAACATTCAGCTTTCACATTTGTTTGCCAATTTCCATCTGGTGGCTCATTGGGTAAACTGATTCTAATTTTGGTTTTCCTATATTGCTGTTAAATCCCAAGCAGCTGTTACTTTCTGTCCAATTACTGTTCATGCATATACACACGTTGTCTTCTTCAAAAGGAAAAGCTACCAGAATGGTAAATGTATAAGCAAGAGGCTTTTATTTATTTTTGTGTCAATATCCAATACTGTTAAGCACACAGTAAGTGCTTTTCTGGAACTCAAAGCCCTGAATCCTTTCCAAGACCCTCTCTAGGCCTGCTAGCCACCTCACCCATAGCTGCCCACCCCCTCACCACATATCCAAAGGTTACTGGGCAAGAAATGTGCTTGTTGTTTCAGGGATCCACGCCCTTCAGCAATGTGACTGCAGCTTTTACTCACAAAGAGTGGAGGCACTTGGTCCGAGCTCCAAGGGAAGGGTTTGAGGAGATACCAGAAAAGTCCAGGAACCTGGTCCTACTGGGTAAGGAAACCATTGAGCATACATACTCTGCTCAGTCTGAAAACCTGTGGCCCTTTCCAGTGTTGAGTGATCCCGAATTGCTCTGACACCCTGGAGGGACAGTGTTTAGTCTTTCTCGTTCCCTAGGAAGTCTCTGCATTCTTGGTTGGGGAATGAGCGTTTTCATTTTGCTCCCTGAGGTTACATCTCACCATTTCCCCCCCTAGGACTAGGGTCAGGGTAACCCTCAGGTTAGTTTTCCCTAGTCAGTAGTTTCACATCTTCCTATGTAGCTTGCTTTATGAATTTAGCTTAAATCCTTAGCTTGACCCCCTTCTTGAGGCTGCTCATGTAGTTCCTTCCAGAAATGCTTTTACCAAGACATTGGCACCACACCATGTCTGTCTGTCTTACTGCTGTATCCCGTAGTGCACAGCACAAAGTGCGTGCTCAATATGTATTTGTTGAATGAATGGAATTAATGGCCTAACTGGCCTTTTCCATTCCCCTGAATGCTAGGTGGCTATTAGGACAGGTCTCTAAAGCTTATTTCCCCCCCTTGAATAGGACTTCCAGTTTCCCAGCCTGGTATGAACTCCCAGTTAGAACAAGGGAAAAGTCCATGGATGCTGGAGGGAGAAGGCCTAAGGAGTACCTGTCCAGGTAAGGGAACAAGCACTAAGCCAGGGAGTCTTGGGAGCAAAAGCCCCCTTGCAATCCACATTAATGCATTTGATAAGGGAATAGTAACTGGGGGTACAAAGGTGAGGGCGGGGGCTATCTTAGATCAGATGAATAGGCATGAACTCCCAGTTAGAACAAGGGAAAAGTCCATGGAACAGTGGGGGGAAAAAAACAGGTTCTAAGGACACCTAGACTATACAGGAAGGAAATCCATTTATTGACCCCAGAGCATGTGCCAATTGGGAGGGGCACTGCATGTTGCCCTCCCACCCCCTTGATAACTCTGGCAGGAAGTGCAATTCAGGCCCTCTAGCCAGAGTGCACACCAGGACCTAGGCCCAAACTAGCTCCATGGCTTGTCCCCAAAATTTCCCACAGCCTGTAATTGCTCCAATTACAGCTCCAGGCGCAACACAGCTTACCCATGAGGTTCCCTGCAGCCTGCTCCAGCTTCCAGCTTCCCTTCCAAGGTGGTCCTGGCGTGGCTCACACCTGCTCCAACAGCAGCTCTGGGCTCTGAAGTGGCTTCACCTCTGGACTCCTCACAGCCTGATTCCACTCACACGTCTGCCAAGATGGTCCCAGCACAGCTTGCCCCTGGGAGCTGTGGCTCACACCCACCACAACTAAAGCTCCAGGCCCCATTGTGACTTCCCCTGGACTCCGCAGCCTGAGCCCCTCCAACTGGCCTGCCAAGGCACGTCAGAGCACCTGTCCTCAGGACGCCTGCAGCTCCTACACAGGCCACTCCAGAAGGTGCTGTTTTGCCTAATTCATAGAAACAGTCAAACGAGACAGAGAAATATGTCCCAAATGAAAGAACAGGACAAAATCCCAGGAAAAGAATTAAATGAGATGGAGACAAGTAATCTACCAAATAGAGTTCAAAACACTGGTTATAAGGGTGTTTAGTGAACCCAGGAGAATAGATTAACTCAGAGAATCACAAAGAGGTAAGACATATAAAGCAACTAGTTACGTACAAAGGAGCCCCCATAAAACTATCAGCTACTTTTCAGAAATTTTGCAGGCCAAAAAGGAATGGTACAATATATTCAAAATAATGAAAGGGGAGGGAACCTGTAACCAACAATACTCTATTGAAGGCTAGTTTCCTAGACAAGCAAAAGCTAAACCAGCACCGGAGAAAAAGAAAATTAGGTGGAAAAGAAAATTCCTTAAACTAAAAGTAAGAAAATGTAAGGGTGACCTCAGCATTATGGCAGTGTGTGGAAACTCCTTTGTATCTCCCCTTACATCGGCAATCCAATGAAGCCTGAGATGTCCATGCATCTGAAGGCAGAGGTATTGGAATGCATAGGGGAGGCAGGATTGGAGCAAGAACAAGGGACAGTGCTTTAGATGCAGTTCGGTGGCCCCACATAACACAGTACAGTAGCAAGGGAGGTGTTGGGGTGTGCCCCCACACTATGGCCCTGCAAAAACAATATTGGTGGCCAAGAATCTGGCTCCCTTCCTCTCCCCCCACTTGCAGCAGAGCCAGGCAGCAGCAGTGATGGTGCCCATTAGGAACAGGAGGCAGCCCTGTGGGTGTGTGAACCCAGCTCCTGCCCACCCACTCCATGGTGGTTACGCCCAAGACTGAGGGGACCCAGACATACAGTGGGGACACCTATAACAACCCCTGAAGCACACACAGCACAAGAAAAAAAACCCTGAAAATAGCACTATGTCACCTTCTACTGATAAACAAAACAGAGCCTCTAATTATCAACCTATTGAATCTTTAAGATCAAAACAGTATCTAAACAAGGAAAGAATCCACTACCTCAAATGCACAGGCAGAGGAATGATCCCTTAAGTACCATGAACAACCAGGGTAGCATGTAACTTCCAAGTGTCCAGAAACCAATCTGAAAGACATGGAAGACTGATATTCAAGATTCCTGCCATGAAGAAACTCAACATACAAGAAAACTGAGCGGCAGTTCAGGTGAGGTCAGGAATAAAATTAGTGAACAAAAGGAGTACTTTACCAAAAAGAACCAAACAAATTCTGCAGCTGAAGAACTATCACTAAATGAGATGAAGAGCACATTAAGCTCCAGCTGATGGCTCAGTTGGTTAGGTGGAGCTTCTTCCCATACACATAACAAGGAAACAGAATTTCCAGAGGATGAGGCCCAGAAATCAGGATTTTAAAAAGATTCCCAGGTGATTCTAATGTGCAGCCAAGGCGTCCTCTTAGCGCAGCAGGCAGCTTGTCAGTCTCATAATGTGCAGCCAAGGTTGAGAACCACTGCCATACACCAAACAGGTTGCGGACTGGATCCCTTGGGGCACATACAGGAGGCAGCTGAGTGTTTCCCCTTTCCTCTCTAAAAATCAATGTACATATCCTCAGGTGAGGATTATCAATAAAATAAATTAAAAAGCATTGGAAATACAATAAACCAGATGGAAGACAGAATTTGTGAAACTGAAAAAAATAACAAAAAATCTAGAATTGACAAGATCTTCACAAAACTAGGGAGAGAACTAGACAATCCAGTACAAGAAGCTAACAGGACATGAAATTATCTCTGCAAAAAGACCCATAAGACGCATTAAAACTGTCAAAAGTTAATAATAGCCGGGCCACTGGGGCTCGGTTGGTTGAGTGTCATCCCATGAACCAGGTCACGGTTCAATTCCGGGTGAGGGGATGTGCAGGAGGCAGCGATGGATGTTTCTCTCTCTCTCCCTCTCTTTCTCTGAAATCAATAAAACCTTTTTTTAAAAAAAAGATATATGATTCATTCCAAGTCAAACAGAAAAGGGTTTTCAAAGAAAAAAAACAACAACACACGACTTAGATCATTTATTAATACCAGCAATAAAAATTACCATTAGGCATTGATTACATTTGCTCTAATTTAGAAAATCATCATGTTTCTAACTCTCTATCCCTCTCTTCCTCTCTGTAAAAAAAAAAATCAATAAAATATATATATATTTTAAAAACACTTTAAAAAAAGTTAATGATAAAGAATTCTCAAGGAGGAGAAGGGGCAGGGGAACAGACAGCAACCGCCAAAGGCAAACTTACCAGATTATCCTATTTCTCAGTAACCCTACAGGCCAGGTGAGTGGAATGATATATTCAAAACACTGAAACGAGGTTGCATTGGTGGTACAGTCGTGAGCATAGCTGCCTTCCAAAACACTGAAACTACCAGCCAAGACTAATCCAACAAAACTATCCATGATAGATGCGTAGAGATATAATACATACATACAATGGAATCTTACTCAGCCCTGAAAAATGAAACTTAGCTATTTGCAACAATATAAATGGACCTTTTCTAAAAAGTATTATGTTAAATGAAAAGTCAGACAAAGGAAGACAAATACCATTTGATTTCACCTATATGTGGAATCTAAAAAACACAAAAATGAACCAACGAAACAAACAACACAAGCTCATAGTCAGAGGGGAGGGAGGTCAGTGTTGGGCAGAAAAAGGAAAGGGAATTGAGTACAAACTTCCAGCTAATACAACACAAGCTCATAGTCAGAGGGGAGGGAGGTCAGTGATGGGCAGAAAAAGGACAGGGAATTAAGGAGTACAAACTTCCAGCTAATAAAGTAAGTCACAGTGATTTAAGTTACAGAACAGAGAACAGAATCAATGTAACAACTATTGTGACAGATGGTTACTAGACTTACTGTGGTCATTTCATAAGGCATAAAAATCCTATATAATAAAAGCCTAATATGCAAATTGTACCCTTGACCAGGAGTTCGACCGCTCACTATGATGTGCACTGACCACCAGAGGGCGGCATGGACCATGGCGGGTGTCCGCCACATGGTGCTGGCAGCAGGCGGCAGTGGAGGCACTGCCGGCCCTGATGGGCCCTTTGAAAGCGGGATCGCGGCGGGATGGTGGAGCAGGTGAGCAGGCGGCACCAGGCCAAGGCAGATGTGAGGGGGCCCAATCACCCCACCGATTGCCCCGCAGAAGGCAACCAGTGTCCATTACAGAGAAAGGGCAAATAGCAATATTAAAATATTTCTTCTAATTATTTAACTTTCAATGTGCACGAATCCGTGCACTGGGCCACTAATATATATATGAAAACTGGAGAAGTGAGGTTGGGGGTGCAGAGCAGAATAAAGTCAGTAGCAGGGGACCCTTTCTGTCCAGCCAAGGCCTCCAGAAGGGGCCCCTCTGCCTTTATCTCTGGGGCAGCCCTTGATGCTGTCCCCCATCAATCTCCTGTCTGGGTCACCCATGCTTCTCTGACTTTCCACTGTCTCGCTGTGGCGGGCCCAACCGCACAGTGAACCACCCATGGGTGTTTCTCACTCTCCATTGGGGAAACTGGCTCCCTGTGCAGTATCATCGCCCCGCCCCCACCGCCCTCCCTCCAAGTGGCCGCAGCTGGAGGTCAGTGGGTCCCCAGGCATCGCCTTCGCTGCCTCCCAGGGCCACAGGCGCGCAGGCAGGCTTCACTGAGGTCACCAGCTCTCTACTGCCATGAGGCCCTGCCCCAACCTCAGGGGTCACCTTGAAAAATGACCCTGAGTCCCTAATGAGCCGATCGGTTCTTTAGAAAGGACACCTGGAACTTTCTTCACAATTGCCAGCTTTGTCAAGGGGGCACTATTTTTTTTATCCTCACCCAAGGATACCTTTCCATTGATTTTAGGGAGAGTGGAAGAGAGAGGGAGAGAGAAACATCAATGTGAGAGAAGCACATCGATTGGTTGCCTCCTGCACAAGCCCTGACCAGGGCCTGGGCTGGGGAGGAGCCTGCAACCAAGATATGTGCCCTTGACGGGAAGCAAACCCAGGACCCTTTGGTCCTCAGGTCAACACTATCCAGTGAACCAAACTGGCTAGGGCTGTTATCAGCTTTTTAAACCAGGTAAGCAGAATGCCCAAAACCACACAGAATTGAGACTAGGACAGCTTGAGACAACTACCTAGTAGTTAGTATTAGGCAAAAACAGATCAGTAGCAGAAGGAAAAGGAATATCACATCTGTGGTAGAGGTTAAAGAAAGGGGAGGCTAATGTGAGCGAATGTCCCTGAGAAGCCATTGGTCGTTATTGATGGTTTAGAACAGAAACATAAACCACTAATGTTCTGGGTGAAAGTGAAGCATCAAACCTGTCTGCGTTCGAGTTCAGCCAAACTCCTCCAGCCTCTGTATTTCAGTATTCTCTTTTCTTCTACCAAAGGAATTTTTTAAATTGCTTTTCTAAATCTTTTTCAGACTGGAAGACTGTATCTGAATCACCTCCAGAGCAAGACTTTTCTGAAGAATCATTCCAGAACACAAGGGTAGAGATACCTCCTGGGGAATCAGATCATAGGAGCTGTGGACAGGGGAAGAGCTTTAATCTGCGACCAGTCCTTTCTCCACAACAGAGAGCTCCTAAAGAAGTGAGACCCCATAAATGTGAAATACAAACAAAGAGCCTCAGGAGGAATTCAGACATAATTAAATCTCACAGAGCAAAACCATACACATGTAACGAATGTGGCAAAGCCTTCAGTTACTGTTCTTCCCTTTCACAGCATCAGAAGAGCCACACTGGGGAGAAGCCTTATGAGTGCAATGCATGTGGGAAGGCCTTCAGCCAGAGCTCATCTCTTACTCAGCACCAAAGGATTCACACTGGAGAGAAACCTTATAAATGCAGTGAGTGTGGAAGAGCCTTCAGCCAGAATGCAAACCTCACAAAACACCAACGCACTCACACTGGAGAAAAGCCCTACAAATAAATGCACCGAGTGTGAGAAAGCCTTCAGTGACTGTTCAGCCCTTGTTCAGCATCAGAGAGTTCACACTGGAGAGAAACCCTACGAATGCAGCAACTGTGGGAAGGCCTTCCGTCACAGTGCCAACCTCACAAACCACCAGAGGACTCACAGGGGAGAAGCCCTACAAGTGCAGTGAGTGTAGGAAGGCCTTCAGTTACTGTGCAGCGTTTATACAGCATCAGAGGATCCATACAGGAGAGAAACCTTACAAATGCAACGCATGTGGGAAGGCCTTTAGCCAGAGCAAACCTCACAAACCACCAGAGGACTCACACTGGAGAGAAACCCTACAAGTGCGAGTGTGGGAAGGCCTTCAGCCAAAGTACAAATCTTATAATCCACCAAAAGACTCACACTGGGGAGAAGCCATAAAGCATTTAACTAGAGTTCATCCCCTAGTCAGCATCAGAGAATTCACACGGGTGTGAAACCCTACCAATGTAGGGAGTGTGGGAAGGCCTTCAGGTGTAGTTCAGCTTTCATTAGACACCAGAGGCTCCATGCTAGAGAGTAACTGGGAACATGACCAACGTGAATGGGGACCTGATGGTTTGAAAGCCTCTGGAAACACACTTTTGCACCTTTAATAAAGTGACTATTTCATGTGGAAGGTCTCAGGAGCTTTTTTTCTTTAACTATATAACCCAACTCAAATTACTAGTCACCTATATTCAGTGAGCCTAAGTGCTTTTTTGTGTACCAAGCACTCCAAGAAACCCTGGTTTATAAAGGTATGATCAAATCAGTGGAAGACCTGGTTCCTACTTAAACACTAGGTATTTCAGCAATGGTTATCCCTCCTTGAATGACTTGTAAAAACCAAAAGAACCACAAATTCTGGCCAGGAAAGAGCATTTCTCTATAATGGGGTCAATAAAGTATCTGATTTGGGGAAGTAAATTCAAGTAGGAAAGATTCTGGGGCCAACCATTTAATGCTACAATTTCACTGAGGGTAGGTGATGAAGGATTCATGCCTTAATGCTAAATATATGAAAATCTACACACACAGATGCACCACAACACTGCTATACCCTATGTCCACTTTATGAACTGACCTAGTGCTGTTTGAGCTGTTAAGTCTTGGAAGAATAGAAGCTGAGGATGTCAGGAGGCTAAGTTACCAAAATCTCCCCATAAGGCACACCCTAACAGGGAGGGACGACCTGATGAAGCCGTGCTCTCCCTGGGTCAGAGGCAGGGGGGCTATCCCTGCTTTTCCCACTAGAAGGCAGTTCCCTTTGCTTTTCCACTTTGCACTGACCTGGGTCCTGCTGTTGACATTTACACCAGCAGATGTGATCTCATCTCAGCAGTTACAAACCACTGTGTGCTTTCCCTGGTTTTTGGTTAGGAATGCGCTTGACTTCAGGGACAGATTTCCCAGTACTGGCCACCTGCTGCAAGGGAAGCTTGTGTCAACTATTCTCACCCCAAGCCTCTAGCTTTGATTCTTTGGATGACTTGGCACATGTCCTAGAATACTTATTTTTCCCTCACCTTTCCACTAAAGATAGTGTGTTCTCCAACCCTGATTGCACCTGGGGTGACTAAAAACCACCTACTAAAGGGCCTGTTGACAAAATTAATGGGAGAGCAAAGAAACAACTAATGGCAAAAAAATGAAGTTCTTGGGTTAATCATTCCCAAGTGGAGTTTCAAGCTACTCAACTGTGGCTTATCCCAGTGCCCAGGTGCCCATCCATTGCATGTCTAATAAAGGAAAAGCGAGTGATAAGCTCTAAGGATGATTTAGAAGAAACAGAGGGATGATGAAGAAAAAGGTGAAAACATAGATTATAATCTGTTACTGGTTTAAAGCCTAGAGAATGTTAGGACTAGGCTGAAGCTAAACTTTAGAAGTATACTTGACCCTCACTTTCACAGAATTAATCAAGGACATAGGTCAGGTTTCTTTGTTATCCAATCATTTAACCCCAGCTGTGTACTGGAATGGATATCAAAGTCCTGAATTACAGGCCCTGGGCCCCAACCCCCCAAATGATTTGGTCTAAGATGAAGAACATCACCCACGTAGTTACGCTGCACAAGTTTTCCTTCTGGCCAAGAACTATTTCTTATGAAGAGTTCTAGGAATGTCTATAAAAACCGCTGAGACTTCTTTTCTAGGTGTCTTTCATGAGAGCTGGTGCCATCGAGAGTAGAAATCTGTTACTGGTAAGATAACAGATGCCCAGAATGGTGCTTCCACAGGTCCCCCACTTGGTCCCACTAACCACCTGACCACAAAGAACCTAGCTCCCCCAGGGAAAAGGCCACATCAAAAAGTCCACTGCTTGTCAAATGATCTTTAATTGAAACATTTTCCTTTGTAGTTCTTAACTCTGTAGGAAAGAAAAAAGAAATCCTATCAGTGATCGGAAAAAAGTCTTCTCAACCCCACTACTGACCAATTCTAGAACTCTCCAGCTTTCACCCTGATTTTAAGCAAACAAAATACAGAAGTCACTTACAGCCGGACACTCCACTGCACCACTGTTGATATCGTCTATGATGTCATGAGGGTGGCGACCATCAACATTGCACCCCACAGACTGGGCAGTCCCCAGGATCTCTTTAATGGTTCCTATAATTAAGAAAAGGTGGCATTAGATGGGAACGCCAGCCCCTCACAATCCTCAGACACCACTGGGAAAATCCATTTGAGTTCCACAGCAGACAGTCATAAAATACCAGAAATAAACACCCCGACTCCCCTACTTGAGAGCTCCCATTTAGTTATGCAAGGCCTGAATGCCAAGTCTCCATGGGACCCTTGATACCCAGATTAAATCCATCTGGCCCAAAATCACCATGATCAAGCCACTTTTCAAACCCAGAAAAGACTATACCCCAAATTTTGGGTCTTACAGAATTAAGTCTCCTTTAAGTGGGAAAAAGGTACCACTCGGTGAATATGCCCCATATCACTAGGTGGTTCCATGTTGTCCTGCTCTTACCAGAGAGTTCTCTAGCTAAAGATCGGTGACGCATCTGTCGGGCAATGCTGACAATCTCATCAAAAGTGATATTTCCACTGTGCTTAACTGCAGAAAAAGAAAACAGCAAAAGCTTTATCACAAGCCAAAGCCAGAGCAGACCACATAATGTCCTCCCCCAGCCACTTCCTGGTTGTTCCCATACTTTCGGCACAGAGTCACCCACATGAAGAATGACCCTGTTTCCTAAGCTGGGGTTTGCTTTCAGCTCACCACTGGAATGCACCAGCCAACAGAGAAGTGGTCAGGTGCAGTGGCGGGTGGCTAATGGCAAAATCAAACCTTTACCAATCTTAACATGTACGTGACTGTTTTAGAGATGAGAAAAGGCAAGCTTAAGTTACTGGTGTTAGTTAATCTATTCAGTGTCACCCAAGTGAGAAGTGCTCTCTTAATTCATCATTCTGTTGTTTCGCCTTGAATGGCACTTCTTGATACCGCCTGGCTACCTAACAGCCTAACATGTACGTGACTGTTTTAGAGATGAGAAAAGGCAAGCTTAAGTTACTGGTGTTAGTTAATCTATTCAGTGTCACCCAACTGAGAAGTGCTCTCTTCATTCATCATTCTTGATACCGCCTGGCTACCTAACAGCCCGCCATCAAATCCCCATGCCATCCCTAGGTCACGTTAAAAAGAAAGCATGCAGCTAAGTATCAAGCATTATGCAGACACCACCGCTCACAAACTAGTCAGAGAAAGGCCACTCACTGTTTTTTTGCTTCTTTCTGTCTCTTGGCGGTTCTTTGAGGGCTTTGATGATCAGGGCAGAGGCAGAAGGCACTACTTCGATCTAAGAAGAGATTGTCATTATGATTAAGCCCTACCCCAACCTCCAATGAAGACAATATTGCCACGAAACTTGGTTTCTTGGAGACCATGGGGCAGACACTGGACTTGTACTATCTCAAGTAATTTTCAAAATCCAAAACACGTCCTAGCCAAGAAGTAAGTGATTTGCCCAATGTCACACAGTGAGTTACTATTTGAGCATGTCTTTGACCTTGCTCTCAGGAAAGCTTTCCCCACACATAAAATTGCTCTCACCACTAATGGTAGGTGGCCATGTCAGCAAAACCTTCCACCCAGGACTCCCAGAGGGTGGCTACCCCTGCCCACCCTCAGACCAAGTACCTGGGCCTGTCTGTTCTGAATGGTCAGTTTCACTGTAATCCTCAGACCCTTCCAATCACCGGTTGCTTTGGCGATGTCATCACCAACCTTTTTTGGAGACTGTAGAAATAAAGGTATGAAATCATATTGTGCCTTAAGTTTAAGTGTCCTGAAAACCTATCCAGTCTTCCTCACTTGCCAATACCCCACATCTTCCTTATAGAGCACAGGAAACTGAGCAAACAACTGCGCCTACCCAATCAAGGCAAGGCTCTCAGCATAGTATAAACTGGAAAAGTTAAGCTAGGGGTGGTTTGTTCAGGGTTGTAAACTGCAGGCCAAGGGCCATAATGGGGCAAAATTACCTACCTAACCTCTCATAAGGACCTACATGATAACTTAGGGAGAAAATTTCCACACTAGTTACATTCAAATCATCTGGAGACCTTTCAAGTTATCAGGTTCCTGGGTCAGGCCAACCCAAGTCAATCTATGGGGATGGAGGTCTGGCATCTGCTACTTTAGAATTTCCTAGTGACCACTAGAAATCATGTCCCTAGTGCCAGCAGAGCTAAGGGCCAAGAACACATTGGTTAATGTGTGCATTTAAGCATAACCAATGGACACGGACGATGGGGGGGTGGGGGGATGAAAGCCAGGGCTGGGGGGCGGGACAGGCTGGAAGAGGACAATGGGGGGAAAGGGACATATGTAATACTTTCAACAATAAAGAATTAAAGCAAGACCAAGGTGGGACAACACTTGAGACAAGAGACCACTGTGCAAGGAACAAAGGTCTCATATTTTGGGAAATCCAACTTCAGTAAAATGGATAAGTAGGAAAATAAGACTGATCGTCAAGGAAAGCTGGTCACATTAACCAGTCGGTTTGGAGCAGAATAGGAAACAGTTATTATAATGTTCACCAGAATCTTCACCCAACATCCCATTTAAGCCTCCACACAGTGAAATGCCCATTTCCCTCACTAGAAAACATAGGCTAAGCCCTCGCTGGTTTGGCTCAGTAGACAGAGCGTCAGCCTGTGGTCTAAAGGGTCCCGGGTTCCATTCAGGTCAAGGGCACGTGCCTGGGTTGTGGTTTCGATCCCCAGTATGGGGCGTGCAGGAGGCAGCCGATCAATGATTCTCTCATCATTGATGTTTCTCTCTCCCTCTACCTTCCTCTCTGAAATCAATAAAAATAAAGAAAACATAGGCTAAAAGTCACTAAGCCACTGAACTTCAAAACCCTCCCGGCCTCTCCCTCGGGTACTCAAACAGCGGGTAAGAGGCACTGGGCTCTAAGCGCACAGACATAACCTTTCTAACGCACCTAGTGGCAATTCAGCGAGTCCGAGGTCTACGCGGGATGGAGATCGGCCCCTCGGGCACAGCTGTGTCTGACAAGGCGGAGCCCAACGGTTCCCGAGAAACGCCCCCTCCCCCCGTGAGAGTGACTTACCAGGCCCAGGGGGCCGATCTTGGGGGCCAGGGCAGACGTGGCGCCCACTTCCCCGCCAGTGCACCGCAGGTAGACTGGGAGGGAAAAAACCGTAAGTGCTTCTGCAGAGCCCCGGCCACAGCCCTCTCCGCGTCGCTCCGGGCTGACCTCGCCACTCTGCCTCGTCTCCAAACAGCACCGAGAACCTCGGGGAGGAGCGAGGCGGGCCACCCCCTCCTCGGGCGTGGACGG